CACATGCACATACATGTAGCTAAAACTAAAACTAAAATCTAAAAATACTAGTAGAAATAATACTGATATTCTGGCCTTAGCTTTATTTCTGCATGATCACATTATATATATTACAGCATATATGTGCACATATGTATATTTTAGGTATGATGTGCTGTGTGCAGAGAGGTGCTTTGGAAAGTGGAAGATGTGTGCATGTATACTTTGATCTGTGTAACTTGAAGCTGTTCATTACAATGGGAAAGGATATTCATTTTATCTCAAATATATTTGACTTTATATGCTGACATTTAATGCACAACATTCATCAGATCTTGTGCCTGTATTAATAGACCAGGTAGTTCCCAACTGCATATTTTATTAGCTATGGCCTATGCTTGTCTACTTAATATAAGTTGTTCGGTAGGAAGATTAAAAACATCTAGTTGGAGATAACCTAACTGGAACTTGGATTAGTTCAAATTTAAACATCTTTCTGCCACAATTATGATAAGAAAAATTCCCTCAGAAATGAAAATCTCAGCACTATACAGTAGTTACACTGTGCTGTTATATTTGAGACTTTGAAAGTCTGAAACAAAGTGTTCCTACATAAGAACTACACCTTGTGGAGTTTATCAGGCTATCCTGTGGTTTTATCTCCTTAAACATGTTCCATGCCCAATCTTTTCTCTTTTAATCTTTAATGCCTATAAATAAACAGCAAAGAAGTGCCAGTCTGATAAAACACTTCCTGAAGACTTGCTTTCCAATTAATTAGTTTAACTTCTAAATTATTTAGTTAGGCTTTGAAATGTGGAACTCCCTGCCACCAATTGCAAGCTACAGAATCTGTGAATATTACTTGGACTGTGGGTTATTTGTTTTATCCTAACTCGGAGCATGGTTTATTCAAAAATGAAGAAAAATATACCCATTTTATAAATTTTATGTTTTTGTTTTGTGGTAAGCTTATTTTATTTTTAATCATATCTCATGGTAGGCTCTGTAGTTTTGCTAATTAAAAAACAAAAAACAACTACTTTTCATTTTTGAAGGATAGTCATTTATTGATTTCAAATAGAAGGGGTTTAACAAAATATAAATAATTGAGTTTTGGTCATAAGTTATACTGACTTAACTATATATTTTTATGATTTAATGCCTTTAAAGAAAAAGATAAAGTGGAAAATATGGATGATCAAGTGGAGAGAGTTTAATATATCTTTTTACATCTTATATAATAAGAGGGTAGGAGGAGAAGAAGAGGGGAGAAGGGGAGGGTAAAGGAGAACAAGAGAGATTGGGATGGCCGAGATGGAGGAAGAACAGAGATATGAGCAAGAAGAGAGATATCTTGATTGAGGGGGCCATTATAGGGTTAGCAGAAACCTGGCTCTAGAGATATTCCTAGGAATCCAAAAGGATGACCTCACCTAGGACCCTGGGAACTAGAGGAGGGGAGGGGGCAATCTTGATTTGCCCTGTAGTCAGATTGATGAATATCTTAAATATCACCATAGTGCCTTCATCCAGCAACTGATGGAGGCAGAGGCAGAGACCCACATCGGGCACTGGACTGAGTTCCCAAAGTCCAGTTGAAGAGTGGGAGGAATGAGAATACGAGCAAGGGGGTCAAGACCATGATGGGTTCACCCACTGAAACAGTTTACCTGAGCTAATGGGAGCTCACCAACTCCAGCCAGACTGGGAAGGAACAAGCATAGGACCAAACTAGTCCCTCTGAATGTAGTTGACCATTGGATGTCTGGAGAATACAGAGGGGTCACTGACAGTGGCACCAGTATTTATCCCTACTGCATAAACTGGCTTTTGGGGATACTATTCTCTTGGAATGTATGCCTTGCTCTGCCTAGATATAGTAGGAAGGGCCTTGGACCTTCCACAAGGCAATGTGCCTTACCCTCTCTGAAAAACAGATGGGGTGGGGTGGAAGGGTGTGTGGAGGGAATGAGAGGAGGCGAGGGAGTGAGAACTTGGATTGGAAATTTTTTTAAAAAAAAATCTAATAAATAAAAAAGAAGGAAAAAGAGTAATGCTGTGTTTCACAAATTACTAGACAATAATGTATATTTTAATATGAGTAAGTTATTTTGGGGACACACTGTCTTCTATAAGATAATTGCATTTGAAACAATAGTACTCTTCATTATTTTTGTACTTCTACATAAATTTATTAAAATGAAAATATGGGCATTTAAGTAAATTAATGAAATTTGTCTGTGGTTCAGAATTCTCATCATAGTTTCATAAGTAGTAAGGTAAACATGGACTTTATTGTGTGGTTTCCAAGTCAGAGTATAACTGAAGCTGTCAGTTGGTTGTTTCCTTTTACTCTGAGTTTGAACTTCACACCTCCATTACTCTTTTACACACTTAAGAATGCCAGTCAGTTTTTAATGGGCACTGAAAACCAAGCCAACAATCAAAACCACTGCTATGGATAAGGAAGTGTAGAATAATTGCTACTCTCCACCTGTTTGACCCTTTTGATCTTAATAGTCTCACGTGAGCTACTTAGAGATTCATCAAACACACAGGAAGAAATCTCTGAGTTAGCTTGGTTTACAAAGCAATAGATCTGGGAGAAATATATAGCAATTAAATAAGTGATTCAGCTAGTTCAATCCTGTTTTGAAGGGACCTCATAAAGAGTGAAGATTAGTCATGGATGGCAGTGCACAGCTGTAATCTTAGCACTCAGGAAGCTAAGGCAGGGGAATCATAAGTTCCGAACCAGTTCCTAGGCTCCATAGTGAGATCTTGTATTAAAAACAAAACCAATATTATTAAATCCTAACTCTTGGTTAAACTAATGCCCATATTGCTCATGTTCAAATCACTGGGAGTCATCAAGATCGACAGTGGTGAGACTTGTGTAAATAGAATTATCTCTAATGTTCGATATTTTTCTCAAGAGACAGCCCCTGCGTAATGTCCAACCACATATTTCCATGTGGATTTTAAAGTAGAAATAGAAGTTCTTCATTTCCCAGATTTTTTTGTTTTTCTGTCATTCTTGCCAGCTGGTGAGAGAAGAAAACAGTGAAGAGACACACATCAAGGAAAGTAACTGTTGGGTGAAAATATCAAAAGTAAATATTATGTAGAAAAATAGCAAAATCATCCTACTGAGTTTCAATGTTTCACTTGGACTAGCAGGGTTCCACAGTTCCTCACTACTGAAGTAAGATGAGAATAAAAAGAGAATCGTTTTTGTTCTATGCAAAACCATAAATGTCCCTAAAATACAGTCCACAAACAAAACATGATTCTTACATTTTTAAAATATATAGTGTCAAATTAGAAGTCTTTTATAATGAGTGGGTATTCACCAATGTGTGAAGTAGTTAGTAGAAAAAAATATGCTTTGGTTTGAAATTCCATAGTATTTCCTACAATATATATTTAACTGACATGTAAAAAATATGTCACTAAACACACAAAAACACATTGCAATGATAGGTTTGTGTCTCTGCTACAATTTAATTTTCTCAGTAGTGACTTTTATATTGTTAAGAGACCGTATTTAAGAAAATATAGTTGAATTATAGTTACATTTCAATATGGTTTCGATGTCAGGAAGAAACCTTTAGGATGGATGACTTTTTAAGATTTTCTGCAGTTTCATATCACAGTACAACAGTCATAGTCTTCAAAACATATGATTTCATTTGTGGAAGTAGTTACATAACTTTTCCTCACAAGTACTTTAGAATTTCAAGGACTAATTTATGATTATCCACTATCATTATTTTCTGTATATCTTTGAGCAAAAGTTTATTTTGAAAGTATAAGAATTTCTTTTAGGGAATGTACCAATATAGAATAAGTTCTTGTGAAGGTAGAGATATGTAATATAAAATGATTTATTGTAGAAGGCATGAACATGAAGGAAATCATTCTTTGTCATCTATAGGGGCTTCATAGTCAAATGTTTGCTAGGCAATATCATGTTTCAGACTGGGTTATTTGCTATGCCATATAAAACAAATGTACAGCCTAAAGTTCACAGATAATGCTTTAAATAAGAAATATATTTTTCCAAGAAAAAAAAAATTTAGAAAACAGTAAGAACCAATCAACTTTAAAGTTCTGTCTTTGCTAAAATACACTGAAAGGATACTTGAAGACTGAAAACCTTTCTAATCACTTCTTGACATCATTTATATATCTTAATGAAAGATTCATTTTACAGAAAATTTGTCAGCATGTGGCATTTAGACATACTTCAAATTATAATAAATATATCCTTGTCACCATCATCCCAGCATACGACCTAGTGTTTTCTCCTAACAGTCAATTTTCAAAGCAATTTTGGTAATAAACAACTCACTAGTGATACCCTTGTGATCCAAAGATGTGGTGGATTGTATCTCTCCAAAATACACATTTTCACTTTAGAGAAGAGGTTCTCAAACAGAGGTAATGTCCTAGGTCTTTGGCAACATCCAAGCAGATTGCTGTGTCTGAAGACTGGAGATGCTACTGCCATCTAGGGAGAGAGGTCAGGCATGGTACTAAATATTGAAAATGAAGTAGCCTCTACAACAGATTTGTAAACAACCCAAAGGTCAATAGTGCCACTGTCAAGGTTCTCTGTTTGAAGTAAAATTATACTCTTCAGCAGTTCATTAAAATGAACTTCTCATTTACTTATGAAAATTAATAAAAGGAATTTTAAATGTTTTCACTCCATTGTCTTAGTGTGTGTTCCTCATTCCTTATTCAGTAATCCAATTTGTTTTCACCAAATGGCATGCTACAGTTGTTCTTCTCAAAGAATTAATTGTTTGTGCATGGTTTACTATTTAAAATCAAAGCAAAACAAACCTATAGCTTATAATGTTAGGGGCATTATTACAGCTGTGGTGGCTTTTTATTTGCTTTTCTTCACAATGACTAGATTCATGAGGTGTGGAAAATGCCTCATGCAGTTGCTTTTCCCCTCTGTCTTTCTCTCTTCACACTTTATTTTTCTTTTTTATTCTGCTTGGCAGAACTCCACTGATAGCAGCTGGAGTCATTGGCGGGCTCTTCATCCTGGTCATCATGGCTCTGACATTTGCAGTTTACGTCAGAAGGAAAAGCATCAAAAAGAAACGAGCCTTGAGGAGATTTCTGGAGACAGAGGTAGCAATTTCACTATTTGTCATTACCTAGGGAATTTTCTTTAAATTTTACAGACCTTATTCTGTTTTCTAAAACCATTGAAAAGATGGCTTAGTTTAGGATGAGGTTGTACATTATATATTCGAACAAAGTTGGTGAAGACAGACTATATTATAAAAGTAGTTAAGATAGTAGGGTCAGAGCTCAATGAGAACAGAATTTACAGGTCCAGTGAAATTATTCTGTTGAAATAAAAAAAGAATTATTTTGGTTGTGGAGATACCCATCAGCATCTCTGGGTAAAAGATAGTTCAGTAGCAGCATGCCCAGAATGTGCCAGAGGAGAGGCCATCTCAGTGGTGGAACTAGATATATGTTAGAAATCAATAGAAATTCCCTGATTGACAGTACAAGCTATATACATTTTAATTAGGATCATTAAATTGCCAGCCAATTATTAACTACACCTGCAGTGAAAGGCTGAGCTTTCAAACTGAAATAACAGGAAACTTTTGACGCAGTTGAAGAGACACACTTAATCTTGTGTATTACATGTGGAGGTTACACAATTTATCCAGTAATTATCACCATTTCGATTATGTCCCCCAACCCACAGCGGGTTCTTTTGCATGCAGCTGATAGTTTGCAGTGTATAGGAGACAAGAAAAGAACCATCACAGGAGATTTTATACAAGCAGAGCTTTGAGTCCCATCCTACCTCATTCTCCAGATACTCCCATCTGGATCCTGAACAATTCAGAGGAAGTCTGTGTGTCATTCAGACTGTATTTTCTACGTGGTTGTCAAAAATGGCCATCTGGCTGTTCTTCCACTCTTAAGACGATCAGGAATAGAGATACTCTATTTTTCATAAATGGGACAGACTGGAAATGGGTTACGTCTTAATACTTTTTCCTCCAGAAATTTCCAAACAGAAAACCATTGCATGGCACAGGCCAAGGTTATTTAACAACATATATTCCATATACAAACTTAGGTATCATTGTCCAAAGTGCTGAAACCTACTCAACAAACTCCTCAACAATTCCGCACGTGTTCTAATTTTAAATTGATTTCTTTCTTTCTTTTTTTTTTTTTTTTTT